ATCTTTTGTTGGTTGGAGACCCAGGTACGGGGAAATCTCAGTTTCTCAAGTATGCAGTAAAGATCATACCACGCTCTGTGCTTACTGCAGGAATTGGATCTACAAGTGCAGGTATGTGCTGCTTCTTCAGCTGGAACACGACTTTTTCCACTCGAGTATGTTTATATAAAGGCTTTCTACATACATGAACATATGTGCTCAGGTTGTTATGAGCACAGCTGAAGCAAGAACTGCTGTGGAGGCATGTGAGGCTTGACATGACTCTCTGCAGAAGGGCAGTCCTGCCCCTTCTGTATCAGCAGAGCACTGTGATGAGCTTCTAACAGGGAACCTTAAAAGCCTCATCCAGAGGCACCTCTCACTGCTTTGCTAGAAGAGGATGATCTGGACCTGTATTTTTAGTGTTCTTCCCAGCTATGACAAATATGATATCTTTCCAGAGCTCACACTGTGTGATGGGCTAGCATCATTTGGTTTCTCCTGAACAGACACTCTCCTCTCTTCTGTTCTTTTATATATTCTGGCTGGGTGCCAGTTTGATTTCTGCTTACTTTCTGGAAATTTACCCTTGTGCTGAGGAATTATTTCTGACTCATAAAGATGGTTTCAAGATGGTTTCAGAGAGCAAGTTGCTTTTTGGTTTTTGGGTTTTTTTGTGTGTGTGTGTTAAATTTAGGTATGTCCCAGGTGGGTCTGAATGCCAGGTATCTTTAAAAATTCTTCTGGGAACAATGTGCAGGGTCAGATTACCTCTGTAAATGACTTTATTTGAACAAATGACTATTTTATTAGTATATTTAAAATCATGAAATAACTAGGGACAAACCCCAGTGTTTCAGCTGGCATGTGTAACAAGCGTTTCTCAGGTAGTGCTGGTTTTCATTTTATGTCTGGGAAACAGCATTATTTAAATATGGGAAAACCAGAGAATAAATCTTTCCCAGTTCTGTAGCTATGTGTACATGTGTATAATGGGTCTTCTACAGCTGTGGAAGTGGAACATGATGTTGAACATACACACTCTTAGGTGCAGGGAACTTGCTATGAAACACGTACGCCTCTGGTTTTCCATTCAAACTGTTGACAAATAGGTCTGGAGAAAAGCCAGAGAGAACATTTTGGCTCAGCATAACCTTTTCTCCACCTTTTGTTCTGTGTTAAGAACGGCGAACAGGCTGGATAATTTAAGTTTTGCTAGGGGACTGACAGTGACCTGGAGTGAAATTTTGCCATGCATTTCCATGTGACGTGGCCCACTTTTGTCAGTAGTAATCTCCCTGTGTCGGCTGCTCTTGGCCTCTGCTGTTGCCTTCTTCACCACGTCTCACTCCTGTGCTTCATTTTCCAAATGATCTAGTTTCCAGCTCAACCATGATAGCTAGGTTCAAAGACACTTCCCTGAAAACCAATGTTGCAGTTTACAAGCTTACTGTGGTATGTGTGCCATAGAATCAGCTGTAATGATGTGTGGAGATGGAGTTTCATTTGGTGAAAGGATCATCTTGGGTCTTTAGATCATCTACATTTCACTTAAATATTGCTTGTATTTTAGAAAGCTGTCCTGGTTTCAGCTGGGATAGAGTTAACTGTCTTCCTAGTAGCTGGTACGGGGCTATGTTTTGAGTCTCTTGCTCTCCCAGCCACACTCCCCCTGAAATGTGACAGCACGTGCACCAAATTTCCACCTTAAAATTCTTTAGGACCCTTATCACAAGTGAAACAAGCAAGAAATCTTATTAACCCTAGTTTAATTTCAAGGAACCTTTCCATTGCTAGAGCTGCTGGACTAAAGCATGAATTTCTAGCCCAGTAGTCTGGATGTAGTTTGAATTATTTTGCCTTCCCTGTGCAGAGTGTCTTACTTATTAATATGTTTATAACTGTACCTAACATTGCTTTTGTTAACTTGCTTTTCATGCAGAAGCTCCAAATGATGAGTTTAGAGAACTACTAAATTGCTTTACTTTCCTTGTCATAATTGCACACTTCAAATTACCAGTTCTGCTTTCTCATGAGAGTACTAATGCACATTTTTCCCTCCAGTGTACAAAGACTAAATCCGTAAATTCCACTTTCAACTGGTTTCTTACTTTAGATAAAAAGCAGTCTGGATTGCAGTTTAATTGCTGGCCCTGGGACTACAGCCCACATAGGCCAAAAGACACACCTGAGATTTGGTAAACCCTGGAGAAGTGCTAAATCTGTCTTACATTTGGATTCCTCTTTTAGAGAAAACTGCTGATAGCTAACCAACCTTAGGTAAGATTTTGTGCATTAACACGTCTTGTACCCTTTACCCATCCAGTACTGTTTTAGTACATGAGCTATTTATCAACCACAGAATTAGAAATCTGCTTCCAAAACTGTCTAATCATATCACTTTTCCCTGGTTTTCTGTACAAGCATTTATTTGTACCAGGACAGCATATTAGATCATTAACATTCTCCTTGTGCCAAAATGCCCGTTCTTTCCTGCTCTACCTTAGGTATCACATGCTTTGAAATCTACTATGATCCTTTGGGGCCCTGCAGTGTCATGTGCCCGCTGCAGCCCGTTACTCCATCCAGGCCTAACTGGAATTGCCACAGAATTTCAGAAAACAGCGACCTAACTCTGCACCTCGATTTGCTGTTGGGCCTCTGCTCCTTCAGTCAGGTTCCTGCATCCCCCAGTGCTTTTTAAACAAAGCCTGTGCTTCATCAGATGTGTTTTGCCTGATTCAGAGAGCATGACCCAGGCTAACACCTTTTTTATCTCACGAACAGGCTCAAGTTGCCTGCTTGCTGCAAACAGCCCTTACAAATGACCAATAATCTATTCTCTATTTTGGAAAAAACAACTTTACCTCCACTCTCTGGATAGTGTTTCTGAGTTTGTTTTATTAGGTTGCCTTTCTTGTGAACACTTAGTAGAAATTTTCTGTTGAGAGTTCTCTGCAAGTTTAGGACTTCTGTGAGGAACTGAGGTTTGTTCCTCCCACAGCTCTTTAATGAAAGTTGGCAGCCAGAAGACCAGCCCACATTCAACAACTCAATGGCAAAAATTTATTTGACCACTATAGGTTATTGTAGCAAAATTCTGAGTTGCTGCAGTCTTGAAGATTGGTAGTAAGGGTTACCTTTTTCAGTGGAGCTTTGTAGAGCCACTGGAGAGGTTAAATTTCACCAGTCTCCATTATGATGGAGCTGGAACCTTTTTGCCCCTTCAAACTCTGAGCGTCATAGTAATTCAGACTGAAGGTGATGCGTGAATAAAGCACAATGACTGTAAGATGGACAGGTTTTTTTCAAGTTAGACATAAAAAAACCCACCCATGGTTTTCATCTGTAACGTTACCTTGATGCATTTACCTTTTTCTACATGAGTAACCTCTGATAAGCCTTATGACAATCTTCTAATGGAATCAAGTCTGTCTATCTATCTGAGGTAAAAATACAGTGAGATGCATCACCAATCCTGTCAATAAAATCTGTAGCATTCCCTTGCATCTTGGTGGTGCCTGCAAGTAGAGTTTTGTGGGAAGGTGAACTCATCTTTGACCTTGAAACTGTAATGCTGTGCTGTCTGCACTAGCTGTTTATATGTCATGCGTACAGCCCTGCTGTTTCAAAATTTTCAGAGGTCAGGGACAAGTCTTTACAGAGATGCCTTATGTGCCCTGTATCTTTTAGTACCACTAAGTTTGTGCTGTGATATTCCCTGATGATCAGACCTGAAGCCTCTGGAGTACTGAAATTTGATTTCTCAAATTCCATGTCTCTGGAATGTGATTTTGCTAGGAAATACGATATTCAGAAGGCAGTGTGTATGGACTGCTAAGATCTGGACAAAGCTGTAGAAGACCCGAGAGGCATCCAGTCTGTCAAAAAGCATAGGAAGACCATTTCTCTTGCAAAGATCATGAGGTGCTCTCATGAGGCATGGTTGTTCTCCAGTTTTCACCAAGCACGGCAGGGTTATTCTTTTTCCTGTAATTGGTGGGTTAGCTGTATCTAGGATGTGTTAGTGTATCAGGTAAGGTGGTGCCAAATTCTACCATGGCATCATGCTGTCCAGTCTAGCTTGAAGTCTATTGCACCCGAGTTCACGTGCACAGTTGACTTTTTTCCTCCTAAACAGAACAATAGATCTTCACTCTCTGATTCCTCTACATTAATTGGTTTGCTGGGTGACGCAGTTTTGCTGACTGTATTTTGTAGTTGATTCTGCAATAGCAGTAATACAGTTTGCTTCCATCGCTTTGTGTCATATGCTTCTAAGAAACCTTCATGCTACTGATGGTTACAGCTTGTACTTGATCATGTTTTCATTTGAATCTTCAATAGGTGCAAGGGTTTGAAATACTACCACAGTAGCCTTAGCTCAAGGCAGACTTCATTAGCCTGCTAATTGTTCAGCAGATGACTTATTTACATGCTTACATTTAAGAGGTATCTTAAATAGCTTTATAAATAGAACAATAAAGTGCATGAAAAATCTCAAAATGTCACTGTAGACCTTAAAGTTGCAATATAATTGAAAATAAAAAGATCTTAGAAGTTCACATAATTTCAGCCCTCAAGTGAAGCAACTGCTGGTTTGGGGGACCAGTTCTTAGTGTTAAGTCATACCGATATTAGAGTGGTAATAATTTTAAATTGCTAATCATATTTTAAACAATTACAGAGAGATTTTTAAGAGCATACCTTAGAATTAGGGTTCCAAATATTAATAGATTTCATCAATTCATTCAGCTACCATATGTACAGCTGAGTTTCCATACAAGAAAGAAACATGTGCATGTACATTCAGATCAGGTCATTCCTTTCTGATTTAAAAAAATGTACATGTTAGAAATGAAGACCATTTCACTAATGATGTGGAAAGACAGAAGTTCTAACTGCTTGGGACATCTTCATCCCTATTAGAGAATGCAGAAAGAGAAGAAAAAGCGTTCTATTTTTATTCAGAGCTACACTGTCAGTCATCATGAAATCTACCTTTTCTTAAGGGCCTGGAACCTATAAGGGTTCAAATTTTGGGTGGTTACTAGTAACTAGCAGAACTATATTCCTGTAATCCGACATGACAGATTACAATTTTAAATGCACATACAGTCACAGTAAATGTATAAGGCTAATGAGCATTGGAAGGAATAACTAAATTATTAGTGTCATAATAATGTCTTAAGTCTTTACAATTTACTGCTTAGTTCTTTTTATCTTCAAGGATGCCTCAGGTAATAGGGATGTCTCAGTGCAAGAGCTTCAGGGCAGGCAGTGTATTCTTGAGTGTGTTATGCTTGCCACAACAGGGTTTGAATCTTGATTTATACCAGTGCATAGGATTGCCTTAAAGGGTAGAGAGAAAACAGAAAAGTTTTAAATTCCAGATGTTTCAAAAAACTGAAAGCAAGCATCTAAACTCCTTATTACTAGTTAAAAAGACTACAAGAATAAAGCATACCTGAAAATAAACGTACCAACCAGCAGTTGTACATAACAATCTTGCAGAAGAGCATTTTTTGGATAATCATGCCATTCCTTTTGATGCTGAAATTTTCTAGTAATTGCTTGAATCCTTCCAACCAATTGTGTGTGCTATTAGGGTGGCTGAAAAAGGTTCTTTCCTGAGATACCCACCCAAATCCACATGAAACATTGTCCTTAACAAACTACAATTTGACTAAACAGCAGCAGCAGGAGATAAAAAAAAAAATCCTAAAATCCAAGATAGCAGATGGTAAATCTCAAATTGCATGCTTTAAGTAACAAGTATGTGCCTTGAAAGGAAAAGAAGCTTGCACCTAAAATTATACTGTGCTGTCTGCTTTCACAGCAAGAGGACAATTTTGGACTTTTTTTTTTTTTTTTTTTCTAAGAGATACTTTTTTCTTTGCACTTCATCTAATGACAGTTTTGTTCTTAAGCTGCTATTAAAGGGCACTTTATATTTGGCAATCTGGATATCAGAGGTGAGGACATGGCATTATTCCTTCATTTTGCCCGAATGTTTTAACCTTCAGTTTTTTAGCCTTCAATAGTGCTTACAAAGTAAAGGGGGAGGGGAGCACATGCATACTTTAATCAAGTTTGATTTAGACCACATAGAATAACACATTAGAGAAAAAAGGCAATTACTTAAAAATAGTTGTATTTATATTCCACAATTTGCTCAAATACTGTTTGTTTGGTTTTTGGTTTTTTTTTTGTTTGTTTGTTTTTTTATAAACTTTCTACAGGATGTTTTAAAACAAGTTCTTCACATTGCTTGTCAACTATGTACTTATGGAATTTGAGGGAAATAGTTCTGGTTGTTTTTACAGTTTAACACATGTACAGTACCAAAATGATGGTGGTTAGTCACATGCAGTCCATATGAGATTCTAACATAACATTTAATGAATTTTCTGATGTTGACCACCCCTTTGATGCTGAAGGTAATGCATCTGTAGAAAGCAGTGACTGTAGATTTGGGTTACTGCTCTCTGCGTCTTCCAGTTTTTCAGTGTTGTCCTCCCAATTAATGTGGAATCTTGTGACTCTGGGATTAGATGCCAAAATATTCCTTTGAAGCTAGGAGAGAAGAAAATACATGGATTATGTAATGTATACATCTCAAACTAGAGTTCACGTGCATATAGATTTTCTTCGTTTTACTCCCCATAGCCCTGTATGTGTAAAACAATTTGTTTAAAAAGGTAATTCATATAAATGTGAATCTATAGCTACTATCTACGGATCAGAAACATGCTTACAGAAATGCACCACTCGTTCATTTACTCTAATATCCTACTCGGCAAAATAACTGCTTTCTTGAGAGGATATTTTTGGTAACTGTTCCATGAGTTAGTTCAAGGCTGTACGAGAACTCTGCAAGTGAAGTGCAAGTGTTTATTATTTTAGCCAGCTTTTAGTAAAGCAAATTACTACCCACACAAAGATTTTGCAAACCACAGTACATCATAAAATTTTTGCATCAACTTTATGGTGTTTGCAATAATTGTATCAATTCCATCAACTGTCTGTCTTCATTTAAGAGTACGACCTATCATTACCTTACATTACATTACCATGCTTTAGATTGATTTCACTAACTGAATTTTAATTTGTCTACTGAAGTTTTAAAGTAAAAACATTACTTGGATTTGGAAGTTATTAGTATTGTGGCCTAGACATTAGTCATATATTTTAGTCTCATGGCTGGCCTTCACTTTCCTTTGAAAACATGTTGTATTTGTTTATGTATGCAGCAAAAAAAGAAAATGCTAACTTTTTCTTAATCTTTCACCATTTTCAAGACAATACATAGTTAAGTGGAGGATGGCAACTTACCGCCATTGGCCACTCATAATGAAAGTTAAGACTGATCACAGGAAAAGTTTGCTTTGGTAGTAATGCTGATTTTGTTCTCCAAGGAAGTGCACTCTCATGAAATATTTCCCAACCCCTTATGCAAACTAACAAGACTATTTATTTTTTTGAACCTACTAGGGTCTATTACCCATCAATCAATCAATTTAATAACCTTCTACTTGTACGTTTAAATTCTGTCCCAAAGTAGTATAAAAAGTCCTTACTGCAAATACATGATAGCTTTTGCTGTTATTTTTCAAAGAAGGAGAGCTAGCTTTTTATATAAGCAGACAATTAAGACAACTAGTTCTAGGCATTTCTAAATTCAAATGCTTAAAGAAAGTCAACATTCTGACATTCACCCCCAAAATAACAAATATGTTTTAAACACAAGAAAAAAGAAAGGAACAGATTATAAATTTAAGAATCCTCAAATTAGCCATAATTTTGAATTTTGAGAACATGCTGAGCGTCTGATCCCTGAAAATTAAGTGTAGAAAATCATTAGCGACTTCTAAAAACCAGTTTACATACCAATTCAGTTTAGTTACATTTGAAGATCAGTTTCAGGGACTATGGGGATTATCTCTGTACTAGTCATTACAATACATGCATTATCCCATTTATTTCTCCATATATCCAGTCACATAGTTCATGCAAACTTGAGAAATGACAAAATTTTCACCATCACACAACTTTGGAACATAAGTGTGTACACTATATGTCAGCTTTCATAAAGAGAAAACCCAACTCCACAAAATCTTCCATGAAAACAAAGCCGGATGCTGTGTAGAACCTTGTTGGTTTGTACAGTCTGCCTCAGGAGAGTACTTCACAGGATTTTAACTAGTTTTTGATGTTTAATTGATTCTTCTCCTCAAATAATTTTATTTCACATCACCTTTTAATTCTAGTATTGGTCTTGGTTTAATTTTTACCAAGAAGGATATATATATTTTTAAACTTAATCTGTGTACTTCCTTGGTCAAATTGTACATTGATAGGATAATCATCCAACCTGCTCTTACCAGGTTACCCATCTTCTCTCATTTTGTACGCAACTTTTTCTTCAGTTTGTTTGTTACTGTTTTGCAGAAACTGCAGCTCTAACACTAGAACAGCTGGATAACAACTGTGTTTAATTAATACCCAAAGCTTAGTTCCAGGTTGACTGTCCTAGAAAAAAAACCATTATTCTGCTTTTCTGAAGAACAGAGCCACTTTGTCAACAGTGCTGCAGGTAGAGGGAACCCAACAGTTTATTTCATACGGACAGTGTAAAATAATAATGAAGTCCAGCTAAGGCTTCAAGCTGGTGGAAACCACTGCAGGTTTCTCAGTGTTCTCTGAATTTATGGCAACTACATGGCACTTGTAGTTTGTCCACCCCAGGTCTCTCCCATTATTTGATGCCTCGTTCCACGCACTTTATGGAATCACTTGGAGTTTGGTTTTGTTTCTTAAAAACCTCTTTCTATAAGCGTACCTTTGACATAGGACTAGAACAAAACGTGCCTTACCTTAGAAAAATCTGGCTTTACTGGTGGATTCTCTCTCAGTTCTGTTTCGGTATATTCATTGTTTACATAGTAGCCGACTCTAATAAATTCTTGACCTCGATAGGTGCATGTAATTAGCACAACTGTTACACCTACTGCATCTGCATCTGGAATAAGCCCTGGGTTAGGTGCATCAGCCTAAATGTGAAAGGAAAAGAAGGGATTAAAATTGATACCACATGACAATCTAGCAGGGGAATCTTAAGTAGCATGTCTTTAGCAGCCGAGTAGTGACTATTTAAAATTGTTCTTCAAGTTAACCAGAAAATATACCTGCCTTCACAACAATATCAACCCTGATTTTAGGACACTATCCTCTAGAGACAGAATTACTTAGAATACAATAATACTGTGTGCTGACATTTCTCATGGGTGGTTAGACAGCTTTGATCCAAAACTGCTTTTAAATATATGATCAGCTAAACTGTTGTTCGAGCAAGTGTACTAACATCCCTCCAGTCCTACAATGCCATTGTTCTCTAGCCCACCTTGGTATTAGTAGAGTGTGTGGGGGGGGTGGGGGTTGGTTTTTGGTGTTTTTTTTAACCTGAGGTTGAATTGGTCTCTATGTGTGTTCTTAATAAGACTAAGCCCTTAAAAATACAGACTGCAATTTATACTTCAGCAAGAAGAGCAGGGACAGGGTACAGTGAGGTTTGAGCTGTCCCACAGATTTCTAGGAAAGGAATAAACTACTCTCTTGCCTCCTTCCACATGCCTACGTTTGTTAAAATGTACGCAGTTAAATGTATCATTGCTCTAAGACATCCAACATATTTTCAGCCAGGATGCAATCCTAATTAATAGGCAACTCTTATCATCCTCCTCAATGTCCTTACTTACCATGGCTCTGCAGTTATTAATAATCAATAAAATTTGCCTCGTAAAACGTGGCTCACGTAAGTCCCTTGAAATGCTTCCTAACTACACATTTATTGATAAAATGTGATGCTTCATTCTGCTGTAGGATTTAAACAGCAATCTAAGCATAAATGAAGCAGCTTCATATTTACAATTTTACATGAAGATCTGAAGCCAACAACGAACACCTGTGTTGCGAGTACAAGCTGGCATTAACAATGTATGTTAGGCAAGAACACCTGAACCATTCTAAGGACAGAGGACAAATGAGATTAATTCCTGCTGTCCCTCTCATCCCTACTTCTCTGTAGTATTTATACACTTCAGTACTCTGAAATTTGGGAGCTAGTGGTCATGCAGCTTTGGCTTCTGCTCTTTAGCTACTTCAATTCTAAGCCTTCAAACCAGTCTGGCTTTTTATAGGAAGCTGTAGGCACTTTGCAGAAAAATTAGATGAGTCAGACCTCTCAGGTACAAATATACCAGGGCGAAGAGAAGCAACCAGAGAATCAGGTAGAACACAACTTCCTCCAGCCCTGAAGGGAACAGAAAATGACCAAATGGCTTTACAACTCCCACAGAAGGGAAAAGATGACCAAAGAATAGGACAAGTGTAAAAGCTTGAAGAAGTCACAAGAACTGCCAATACAGATGAAATCACTACTTTAATTCAGTAGTCTTGTTCTAACAGTGCCCAGGACCATTTGATCACTTTAAATTCCACATTGGGCAGTTATAGACTAATATATTGCAAAAGGATGCTGTTCATTTAACCTCCCGTGAAACTCAACTCACACCCTAATGTGGGATTTTAGTTCTTCTAGGCTCCCGTTGTCATTTTGTGTCCTGCAATATCCTATGATACAGTTGTGAACCCAAGGAAATACTCTGTTTTAATCCTACTTAACTCTAAAGCATTGTTTTGCTGAGTGGAAAAGACACTGAACACTGTGTAAAACCACTTTCTTTTCTCAAATTTTGAACTTCCTGCCTTGGATGTCAAACCTTTTAATTGCCTGGGAAACAAATCACACACAGGTGGAAGAAAAAAAGAAGAGCTTGGTGTGATCAAATGATACGGGAGCAGCTGCAGATACTTTGGGTAGGCTAAAAGAGGCAGTAGATTAACTTTTGAGTAAAAATCACTATCTTAATATGCCATTCTTATGCTAGAAATTACTTAAGAATTTTATGAAATCACTCAATGTATATGTTGTCTTGAATTATCTTGCTTTTCCATATGATACATTTATTCACATAGCTATTACTGCAGAGTAGGTAGCTAAGGTCATATCCCCACTTAAAGATAGTAAATTATTTATGTGCTTATATTCTCAAAAAGAAGTTTCTGTGAATTTATTATAAATCCCCAAGTGCACAGAGAGAAGGAATCAGGTTTCACTACTTTATCTTGGTATTTAGAACCAAACAGGCCAAGCTGTGGGCCTTTAATTTTGAAACCTTCTTAAATGTTAAAAAAAAAAAAAGGCCGATTGCGTAAATCTGAAAAGCACAATCGTTTTCCATCTTTCAGTATGTAAGGCTGACTTCCCAACCTGATACACAGCTTCTTTTCAACAAAGGTAATTTTATCATCCTTGGTATTTTATCTGTGTGGTACTCCATTTTACTTGCTATTTCAGCCATTTTCCTATTTAGAAAAATCTACAGCATATTATTAGCTGAAAAATGTTATACACCTCCACAAAGGTCCTTTCAATGTGGTGTCCCTAGTGAACACAGTCTCTTTTCTTTATATTATATGCCTCCTGCAGTTCTGTGCTTTGCCCCATTCTGGCCTTCCCTTGCTAGTTCTCTCCATCTCCCAGGCTGCTTCAGCGTGGTGAATAAAATAGCTTCAGTCATCAGCAAAGGCTTATTGCAGCACTTTGGTTTTTGGTGGTCTGCTGTGTACACGTTAGCCAAGTCCTACCCTCACCTGAAATCCAGTGCTTTTGAAGTCTAATATACTTCGACCAACAGTACTTCCATAAGAAATGGAATTTATTATAACACAGGAGTACTGACTCTTTTACAGGACCTATTCCAATCTAAGCAAAATTAGCTCCTAATTTAGCTGTAGTGTCAGTTATAACCAGGATACAATTGATGAGTCCATCCTACAGAAACTGCAAGACCAGTAAATTTAATTTTCAAGGCCTTCCTAATCATACAGTCAAAACATGCCTTTTCAGACACCTGCCTCCTGCTCCTTCCCATCACCATGAACAATGAATCTTTGTAACTTAACAGAGAACAGTGCATCTTTTAAATTAGAAATGTAAACAGCAGCCGATTTCTCTGGATATAGTGCTACAAGGTAGCCCCTTTGAGGGCAACATGGGATCATCTATTTCTGACTAATTAATGACATAAGGTGTAATAGCTTGAGAATGGAAGAACTGTTTTATTTGTAGTGTGGAAGAATTAGGCCCAGCTTCAAAACCAAACAGAAATGTTTCAAGACTAATTTGCACATATGTGGTCGATAAATGTAACCTCCAGCCTAATCTTATTCCTTTAGCCTGTCCTGTAAGAAAAAAAAAAAAGTGTCCTGGAACTTACAGGATTAATCAAGATGCCTCACAAATTTTGGTATTATTTTAACAGTTACAGTAAGTGTGAGAAATAAGCAAGTGTATTCGTTAGCACTTTTTTTTTTTAATGCTCATACTCCAGCATGCAATTGCCATTAAATGGTTAAGTGAATTTATAGTATTTGGGAAAGTAGCATGGTTCTTATACAATAAGCCATACTCAGTTTCAGTCCGATTCTTCTGCTGATGGATTTTACTCTCAGGTTACAAGACAAATACTAGTATTTGATAAATAGAGAAAAAAGTGAGCTAAATCATAGTTTTGATTAAAAAAAAGAAACAAACCCCCAAAAACTTCTGTAAGACTTTAGGCAAGTTTGCTTTAGGTTCCCCCCCCACGCACACCCCCCTTGCTGACTTTAAATGGAAACCAGAATAGGCTAGTAAGCCATCTTAGCTCTGTTCTTTGCCTGTTTTCCTTCCCTTAATGATTCCTTCTTAGTAACTTTCGGCTTTAACAGCAGTATTTTATAGGACTGTGCCATGCTCCAGAGTTTGTTGGACACTCTTGATCTACACACTTGCGTCCCAAATGCCTGCTGTCAGCCACTGGAATTCTGTCTTACTTTACAAATTGCTGTATTTTGTTGTGATTTAGCATGCTTAGCCAAACATCACAGTTGAACATCTATCCTGCCAAGCAGAAATGAACTCTTGACTGTTCTGGCAGAGTTTTACAATGAATTTGTTGGCCTGATCTTCTGAAGACGTTGTCTACATTAACCTAGTGCTCCTGATTGTCTGAAACTGCCACCAACTGCAGCAGAGTTAAGCTTGATGGTGCTAGTGTAAACCAGGTGACTGGCACTCTTGATTACCGAGTGATCTAGAATATATTTATAAACCAGACTGGTTAAAATTATCAGTAGCTATAGGAGCAGTGCTTCTATCATTATGTCTAATTATTGATACCAGAAGTGAAAATATTACCATGGAGATATCAGGGGCAAGAAATATCAGCTCATGAACAGACTTTAAAGGAGGGCATATCATACCTGAAAAGCTGACTGAAATATTTTTCTAGCTTACCATTATTTTTCAAGCGCCTCTTAGTTTGATACCATCATCTTTAAACTAATTAACACAACCCTTTTAGAAACAGTTAAATCAAACTTACCTGAAATACAAACATGTGTCTGCCCGCAGGAACAGGTCCTACTAAAACAGAGTCTAACACCTGATCATACTCTTCACTTTCAGCTGAACCCACATAAATTATTTTCCATTCCAAATCTACAGCAAAACAAAAATAAATTAAAAAACCACAAACATTATTTATCATTACAGTTAAGGGTCTTCCACTCCTGCCTACCTACAGTTTTGCATAGCCTAAAATTGCTTCTTTGGCAACAGGCCTAAAATAACAAGGACCTGTCTTCACTGGGGAAATTTATTGATGCCTGCCCCAGTCCTCGTGAACCAGACCCTCCCACCATCTTTCTCTAGTCGGTCTGTACCACAGGAATCCCTCTATTTTCATAGGTTAATTTTCAAATTTTATACAGAGGACAGGGCCCATTTACTTGTTGGGCGCTGTGTTCAGCATTTTCTCCATCTGTTGGAGTGGCTGCAGCACAGGGACGATGCCCATATACGCCTAGAACGCATCGCACACCTTGAATACTGACTCACCTCCCAAAAAGAAATTCCCACCTTGCACATACACACCTCACAGCTTAAATTACACAGATCATGGAAGGTAGTTAATTGAATAAGAAAACCCATTGTGTAAGCACCAGGCACACTAACTGTATTCCCCCATTCCTTCACATGTAACTGGTGTAACCCAAGAAGTATGTAAAGTTGTGATAGCGTGATTAGATCACATTCTCATTGAAGATATTGGTGCTCGGATTTTAGCCACATCCTGAAATGGAACTACAGGCAAAAAAATTTAAACGTAGCATTTTGCTTCTTAAAATAATGCACCAAAATAAAACATTTCTTACGACTCAGTTTTTTTCTAACTCACCCTCTCTACCACAGGTGTTTGAAAGTTGAAACTGCAAATTAGCACACATTAGCTCTTCCTGGGGCAGCTTTTCACTTTCACTTTTTGATTCAAAAACACGTGTAAAGACATACAGAACTAACCTTAAAAGAGATCTTTTTGGTTTTTTTAAACAAGAGGGAAGAAAGATCACCATTATAGAAAACTATGACTAACTTTTTTTTTTTTTTTAGTTCAGCGAGACTGGTGCTTCAAAACTGTACCTTAAAAACTTACATGGTATATTTCATATTTTTTTTCCTTATGAACAGTGCCCTTATTGTCTATGCAAAAGCACAAACCTGTACCCTATTACATCTACTTTATTACTGTGCTTTGCAAAATCCAAAGGTCTACATTATGGCTTCTTGGTGCAGGAGTGGAACTTAAGCATAGAAAAAACTTAGTACTGTAACAGAAACTGGCTGCCTTAGGATTGCAACTCTCTTTCCTCATTAATGAATTCTTCTTGCTTACCATGTTTAGCATCAATGCAGGTTCGGGGGGTTTAAGTAACATAATTTACAGGGCTTAGAAAGGGATTTTACTCCTCAATTGGCCAGGTGTTGTATCAGAGGTTTTAGTCACCTTTTAAGCATGTAGTACTAGTTACTGCCAGTACTGCAGGCTATTCATCCAGGACAATTAAGGATCTCTTTTGTCAGCATCTGAGTGTAAGTTACTACTTAGAAGAAGTGAGGACTTTTAGGCTAAACTACTTAAGGTTATCACACCATCCTGTGCCATTATTCTAGGAGAACAGTATGAAGTTCAGTCTAAACCAGGAGTATTTATTACTAAAAAATGGACTTTTAAAAATTAAGTTGTAGATTATACATTTAATAGGTTGATCCAAGTGCTGTTTAGGTTATCTTGCTACAGAGTAACAACTTTAAAAAAAAACCCAAAAAACAAGAGGGCTGGAGTTAACGAATTTAAGATCAGTGGTGCACAGGACTGGCTGAAGAGAAAACAGCACAGTAGATAGACATATTAGCACGTGAAAGCTAAGGCAACGACAGCAAATTTTTCATCAAGTGTAGGAAGGCTATGCTTCATCTTATTCTTAAATGCGAAAGATAGCAGTGCTCCTCCTGAATACATCCTAGTCTAACTTGCATTTAGGTGGGGGAAGGGAACTGAGAATTTTGCATTAGACCATCTATAATTCTTCTCATCCCGACTGTCCCGGATTAACTCCCACGTAAATCCAGAGAGCGAGGAGCGCGCCACGTACAGCCGCGCACAACGGGAAGGAAAGGCGCGACGCCTCGCGCCGAGCCCCTTCGACAGGCACCGCTGCCGTCGACGGCTGCGACGCCGCGTCTCAGGCGATGCCAGGCTGACTGGAGAGATCCACTCAGCGACCTGGCGACGGGCACGGAGCGCAGCCTGCTACGGGCAGCTCCAGCTAACGCCTCGGTCCGTCGTGGAAGGGCAGGAGACTAATGGCAGAGGCCTAGAGGAGACCCCAGGCTCGGAGGAGACTGCCTGCCTGCCTCCGAACTTCCCGCCAGCGCGACCGTCCCTCCCAGCGGCGGTGGCGTAGAGCAAGCCAAGCCGCCCGCGCTGTCCCCAGGCCGCCGGCACGCACGAGTAAAAAACAAACAAACAAAAAACCCCAGAAAACTGCTAGCGGAGCAGGCAGGGTGAGGCAAGTTTAACCGCAGCGACAGAGAGCCTGCCAGGCGTTATCGCCCACCAATTCCGGTTCGCCTTTCGCCTTTCCCTCGCCCCTCAGGCCGCTGGCGAGCAAGGCGGCGCCGGTCTCCGCCGGGGGCCAGGCGGCTGTCCCTCTCTCCGCTCACAGGCAGCCCCAGCCGAGCGGCCTCCCTCCTCCTCCTCCTCCTCCTGCTGCTGCTGCCGGCGGGCAGGAGCTCCCCGCTTCCCTTCCTCGCCCCTGAGCCGCGGGGCGTTCAAAACTCCCGCCCGAGGGGCGACGCGCGGCCTCTCGGGGCGACTCCCGCAGAGAGCCGCGGCGCGGCCTGCCG